TGTTGTGTTTCTTGTTTTAATTTAGGGTTTAGGGCTTGACTCAATTCATGCCATTCCACTGGACGTCACCTCAACTCAATTTTGTGGCCTATCTCCACTCACTGGACTTTGTCTAACAATAACTAAAGATTGAACAAAATTTAAGGAGTTTGATGAGAAATTCATTGGAAACATGAAGTTCTGAGACAAATCTATTGTACCGATCCATCTTTTTCCTGTGTAATAATGACAACCAACTTTTGGTGACCTGTATATTACATTCCGAGTGTGAAGAGCAATATTATTGGTCTTGGTCAAATGACAGAAGAAGGTAGTATAATGGAGTTAGTCGGCTCATTTCTCAAGTTCTTTGACAAAAATGGAGCCCGGTTGATTAAGATAAAATTGTCACGAAACCACCTGTCTAAGGTACTAATGAAACACCATTAAAATTTTTCAAAAACCTCCATTGGCACTATCATTGGCATCAAGAAAGGGAAGAAGAAACCAATGAGTTGGGAGAAGAAGAAACTAAAGACTACGAGGCTAAGTTGGTCCATGAAGAGCAACTTATAAGTCAATGTACTCCATCAAACTTATTATGTCAACCAAGGAGGCTTAGAAGAAAGGCTACTAGCATTTTCTTTTTTTTTTAAAAAAAAAACATCAAACTTGTCATCTCAACCAAATAAGCCCAGGAGCAGACCAAAAACAAAACAAGAGTCCAGTATTAAAAGGGGTGACAATTACCAATTTCTTTGCGCCATTTCTATTGAATATCTAGTTTGTTCATCCAACTTTCTTGAGATGGATGGTTTCCACAAAAATTCTAACGAACTTATACTATGGGAATGCAGAGTTGAAAGACAAGCAATATCTTACAAGAGGATAAAATTCCTATGCATAATAGAGAAGCAAAAGAAATTTCATGATGCACAATTAAATTTCTTATAAAGAAGACAAAGTTGATTAGGGATGAAGCAACATTGACACGATAAAGCAACATGCAGATATACTCAACAAGGCTCTAGCCAAGATTAAACTTTACAAGCATGCGATTGTTATTTAGAATGAGAATCTCGAGCCAAGTCAAGCTTAGGAGAGAAAATGTGAATCAATAAATTTGATTTAATAAAAATAGTTATTCACGTAAGTAAGTTTAAAAAAAATGGTTAGTGATTTATTTAAGAGAATTGTTAAAGTTCATAAATTGCAGAGAAAGTTTAAGAAAATAGATAGTTATTTACGTAGGAGAATTGTATGTGGTTTTTAACTTGAGAAAGTTTACAAAATTTGTTAGTGTTTTTCTCCCTCTAGATACTGATTAGATATTAATAACAATAAGAATTGAAAACTTTAGTGGTTAAGATTTTGGGTAAAAAAAAACTCTTCTCTCAAGATGTTCTTTCTCCTTCAATTATTTGTTTTGGTGTACTTTAATGTTGATTGCCATATCATCGTTGGAGAAAGGAGTAAAGAATTTAAGATGTCTCAAAGCGAATAAGAGTTTTGCAAGTCGGCTCAACTGCTCTAATTCAACTCAAATTGCAAGTTTTTTTAATAGGATTTACCTCAATTTCAGAACATATAGAATAGCGTATAGAATGCCGTAGATGAAATTGAAGCACTATAAGCATGAGCTTGAGGTAAAAATAGCTAAGGAAAGTTTAGAGATGTTCAATTAGGTCAAAAATAATAAATGAACGTACCGTTGGAACATTTACGAATTAGGTGAGATGAATTCATTGTTGCTTAAGTCTCACGTATCCTGTAGCATTTCTACGTGATATTATTTTATTTTATGAAATCTTAATGAATTTCATGACGCATATACTTTTTGTTTGTTGATCATGCTTACTATATTGATATGATTATGTTTATGCCCGATAATGAAATATCGTTAATATGTATTTACGTCTCATAGGGAATACATGTCTTGATAAGTATAAAAGTATTATGTGCATTATTTTACTATACAATGATTTTTAATGCAGACGCCAAGCATGTTGTATGTCACACAAGCATGAATTACTTATCCAATACGTTATGTAGAGACGTGTACACCACAATATTATGCACATTCGTTTCTTTTTTGTTAGTTTTTGGCAATATGAGTGTGCACTAGCTCATAACTAAGTCAGGTAGTACTATACGAGCTTGCCTAGTGGATTCGTATAAGGTGTGTGTAAAGAAGTACTATGCATGCATCCCCACCCGAAAATAAAAATAGATCCCAAGGAACAACCACGAAAGGTGTGAACAAATAAAAATATGAGTGCAAATGATAGGAACATCAATTCTCTAAATCGATATGATACCATCCACTTTGAACATAAGTTTTTATGATTTCCTTTTAGTTTCCTCAAAAGATCTCATACCATTGGAGATAGTGTCCATCGCTTTTATGTTAGGATCCGCACAACAACACATACTCGATGTAGATGAACACAAAGAACATGAGAGAGAAAATGTAAGGAGAAATATTGGTGAGAGGTTTATATTAATGACTTCCGGTAACAAGGACATTTTCAAAACAGTCTAATGAGAACGATTCAGTTTAATATATATAACTTTACCACATATAATCATCTACTATATATTTATATATATATATATATATATATATATATAGCTATCTACCATATATAGTTTTTACTGTATATAATTCTTGACCATGTCTAATATGAAATATAACATTAATATATATTATCATTCATTATGCTATAAATAAGCTTATGATCTTCCCCCTCATCCGCTAATGTGGAATCCAACGTGCAATGTAAATCATGTAATGGCACATAAACTGACCGCTAAACACATAAGTAGGTTTACGATAAATTTAACATTTTTAAGTAAACATACAATCTTGTGAACTAATGGAAAAGAGGTTTAGTACTGTGAAGGGTCTCAACGTCACAGTACTTGTAAGGCTTACAGTAAACAACTTCTTGGACTTCGATTTTGCTTATTCGAATATAGGTGTTACCTGTACCTTAGTAATACCAAACAAGTTTTTTCGACATAAACCTTGTAGAGTCACAAACGTCTCACGACACAAAGAATCTCACTAACTAATATTCTCAAGAAATTATTTTTGATCTGCAAAATCAGAGAGAGATCACCATCGTACACCCATCTTGCTCTGATACGAGATTGTTGAACACACCTCTGTGTAGAAAACACTAGCACTCTTTGTAAAGATAAACCAAAAATATATTACAAATAAAACACTCTCTTGAAAACACTAGCACTCTTTGTAAAGATAAACCAATAATATATTACAAATATTTTGTTTTACTTTGATTACTTGGGACTTCTTGAGGTGAAAACCTCACCGATGTGACGAGGCATTTATAGTAGAAACTAGACAATTTATTCCTAAAATATTTAACCATTTAATACTAAATTACCTAAATCCTTTACCTATAATACCTAAATAATTTTCCCAAAATATGTAAGTATCTTTATTCCTAAAGTACCTAAATAATTTTCGTAATTTATATAGACAATAGACTAGTATAATTATTAGGCTTGATCCTATTGGACTAGTGATGATCTTTTAACACATTATGCTATAAACCTGGCTTGAGAGGGGACAAAGGACTACATGGGTAAACTAAGAACTTTACACAAATGTGTTCAAATAAAGCTATCAAACTGTCCTATAAAAAATGATGCCAAGGATTTTATTCGTTGACTGCAATGCAAACTTACAAACTTACAAAGTATGAAAACAAAAAAGTTAGTTCAACCCTAAATAAGATAACTACGCAAAATTTTAAGGTATTTTATTTTAAATTAGTTTTATTTTCTTTTCTTTTGTTTTTGTCTTTATGGTCATGGTAGATGTTTTGACTCTTGAAAATTGGATGGTGATATTTTATCTGGTTGTCACATAACAGAATATTTAATTTTAAAAACAAAAACATCTACTATTTTTTCGTAACCAACTCAGTCGAGTCTAAATTCCCTGCATTTATTCTAAGGTACTCAGGAGAGGTTAGACATTTGAATTTCTAACCTTTTTGCATGTAATCTGTTTTCATTGTTATGATTGATGTATTCATATGATCATATTTATGTCTTGGGAGACACCATGATGTACCCATGTATAAAAAGAATCAATGAAATACCATGAATATGTACGTACGTCGTATAAGAAATTTAGGTCATGGTAAGTATGAAAGTATTATGTGCATAATGTCAATGAAACTTTTTTTTTTTTTTTTATGCGGGAGATCATGCATATTGTATGTCATATAATCATAGAATACAAACTACGATATTATTTGTGTTCCTTTCATTCTTTTGGTTTTCGGCATTTGAGGATTCGCTAGCTCATAGTCAGACTTGAGAGGTATGCTAAAAGTTTTACGTGAATCGTGTATAAATAAATACTATGCATCCAACTCTACCCGAAAAAAGTAGTGCACAAGGAACAATCACAAACATTAAGTCTTACCGGTTATGGTACATGTTGTATGTGAATGAATTTTTCCCACTCCCTTGGTAAAGTCGCTTGAGGAGGCCACAAAAATGAAGTTGTTCACATATAGTTTTCCACACTTTTTGTTATATTTTAAATATCATGATCCTTGATTTTTCTATTAGAACATGTTTAAACCTTATTTTTAACTATGCTTTCACCGTGTTTGCATTATTTGGAAGATTGGAGTCCACGAAAGTTTTAAAGTTGAAAAGAAAATTATTTCTTAAACATGTCATGACATACATGTACTAACAATTTTATTTTAAAAGAAAAACTGAGGTCATCGCAATTGATAGTGATGGTAGGTACTTGGTGATGGCAGTTGTGGTGAGTTGGTACATGAGCAGGACTATGACTATGTTCGATGACTATGACATTGAAGTTGGACTGTCTTGAATTTTGGAAGCTTCGATGTCATTTAAGCTGGACTGACTTTGTGGAATGTTACCATGGCGGTGGTGGTGATGGCGGTGGTGGTGATGGAAATGGATGTCTGGCGAACCTCCTTGGGAGGGACTCTCTTGGCCACTTGGTGTAGGAGCAGGGCTATCTTGAATTTTGGAAGCTTCAATGTCATTTAAGCTGGACTGGCTTTGTGGGATGTGACCATGGCGGCGGTGGTGGTGATGGAAATGGATGTCTGGCAAACCTCCTTGGGAGGGACTCTCTTGGCCACTTGGTGTAGGAGCAGGGCTATCTTGAATTTTGGAAGCTTCAATGTCATTTAAGCTGGACTGGCTTGGTGGGCTCTTACCATGGCGGCCGTGTTCGTGGCAGTGGTGGTGATCGAAATGGATATGGATGTCTCGCGAATCTCCTTGGGAGGGACTCTCTTGACCACTTGGTGTAGGAGCAGGGCTATCTTGAATTTTGGAAGCTTCAATGTCATTTAAGCTGGACTGGCTTTGTGGGCTCTTACCATGGCGGCCGTGTTCGTGGTGGTGGTGGTGATGGAAATGGATATGGATGTCTCGCGAATCTCCTTGGGAGGGACTCTCTTGACCACTTGGTGTAGGAGCAGGGCTATCTTGAATTTTGGAAGCTTCAATGTCATTTAAGCTGGACTGGCTTGGTGGGCTCTTACCATGGCGGCCGTGTTCGTGGTGGTGGTGGTGATGGAAATGGATATGGATGTCTCGCGAATCTCCTTGGGAGGGACTCTCTTGACCACTTGGTGTAGGAGCAGGGCTATCTTGAATTTTGGAAGCTTCAATGTCATTTAAGCTGGACTGGCTGTGTGGGATGTGACCATGGCGGTGGTGGTGGTGGTGATGGAAATGGATGTCTGGCGAACCTCCTTGGGAGGGACTCTCTTGACCACTTGGTGGAGGATCAGGGCTATCTTAAATTTTGGAAGCTTCAATGTCATTTAAGCTGGACTGGCTTTGTGGGATGTGACCATGGCGGTGGTGGCGGCGGTGGTGATGGAAATGGATGTCTGGCGAACCTCCTTGGGAGGGACTCTCTTGACCACTTGGTGTAGGAGCAGGGCTATCTTGATATTCAGCGGCTTCGAAAACATTAATTCTGCAATAGAAGAGGAGTGCAATCACAAAAACACTTGTGGTTAGAGAACCCATTTTAATATGTTATGTAATTCTAACGTTGAAGTGTAATATATATATAGACTCAAATATAATAATATGATTAAAAAATTCTAAGTTTAAAGTATATTATATGAGTAAAAGTTGAATAGTCTTGTCTCGAGGAATGCAAGTCAATATTAGTTAGATTTTTAACTTAGTTTGGATTTAGAAATAATGCACCAAACTCACGTACCATATATACCATATATGACTTTCATTCTATACAAGAATTCTATATTTATTTTAAAAGGTCAATTGTTTGAATTTAATTTGGTAAAAAAATAGGAATGGTAAGTGTAAAAAGTTGGGGTAACATGCATATGTAGAAAGGGCTAGCTGTGTCATGTTGGCGAGTTGTTTCATGGAGGAGTGAATTGTCTACGTTCAATTCAATGGGTTTAGAAGATATTCATGTGTTGAGCTTGATCGAGTAAAGAGGATTTTGAAATTCGACCAACTATTTGGATTGCAAGTTTTTTCAACTAAAACATCTATTCTTAAACCACGAACTCTATGTAACTATAAAGCATTGGGGTGGATTATTCGAATCATTTAATCCATTTTTCATTGGAGTAAAAGTGAAATGTGATGGGAAATGTAACGACTCGAAATTTTCTACTTAATTTAAGATCGCTACTGTATACGTACCATAAACATTGAATGCGGAACACTTCATTTAAATTCCATAAAACATAACCTTTATCTTAAAACACAGCCATAGACTTACGTGTTTCGAAAACATCTTTAAACCGACACAACAAAAGACTAAATAAAATGAATAAGAATTTAAGTTAAAAACATCCTATACTAGCCTAAGTCTAAGAAAATAAATACCATTGTCCTATGCATGTGCCATGGTCTCGAGTTGCGATTTCGTCGTCAGCTGTACAGGAATGCCTTACCTTTACGTGAAAAATGTAGTAGCACATGGCTTGAGTATTTAAAGAAATACTCAGTTAGTGACTCCACTATTGGGGTTAAATGCAACAATCACATGCAATGAGATGACGGGACCTATCTTTCATTCCGTTTTCCCTACGGTGCTGTCCTAACGGGTAATTTTGGACGCATATCATACACTCTACACATAGCCCATACGTGCGAGTATGGGCTCACCAGCTTGTTCGCACACCGTTGGGCCACTTTTCTTATCCGGTGGGCATACTTTGGGAGCCCCTTAGGCCGGACACCCGTTAGAACAAGTAACCGTCACGGCAGTGCTATGCAAAGCATAACGATCGTTGTTCTGCCATTGGATATATGCGTCCGTACCCTCGTGATGGGATAGGGGTATCCCCCAAGTGCATGAGGTCCCAAAACTTTTCCATTTTCATTATCCTTTAATACATCCCCGCTAGCATTATGTACACATCATATCATTTTTCATCACGTTCATCATTCATATCATATCGTTTCTTATTTTTCAGTTCTCAAATCATACATAATTCTAACGGGGTTATATTTCATGCCATTTATCGTAATTTCATGTCATTCATATCATGCTGTATACACACAATTTAACAGACCTAACATAACATTATATGCTTTTAACATAACATTTCATCATATACACAACATACCATGACATATTGCATCACAATGTATCATATCATAAACAAGTCATAACGTAAACACTTTGTAGTCATATCGTTCTCTAACTTATCACAGCCTTAACGTTCTTATACCTATCACAGACATATCATTACGTGAACGTGCCTTAGTCATATCATCACAAGAACGTATCCTAACGCTATCGTTCTATCAATCCTAACGCTATCGTTCTATCAATCTATCACAAACCTATCCCTTTCTACCCGTAACGTAACCGTATTCTTCCATCAATCTCTCTTATCCATATCACTCCGGTATGTAACCTAACCTTAACGTTTCATGAACGTATTTCACTCCTATCGCTACATTTCGTTTTGAGCATCCTTCTCGTATCCTATCTCAAACATATCCTTGAACACATCGTACCGTAATTTTATCATACAATTCACCTATTGTAATGTATACATAACATACAAGAAGCATATCGATCCACAGACAATTCACACATATCAATATATATGACACGTGCAGAACCACGGGGCACGTATCAACATCGAATATAACCATGACGATTTTTGAAGGTGTTAATATAACACATGCGGAAGTAATTTGGATCTTAGGCACTCTAAGTACATCAATTATAGTAAATTAGCTAACATGTTTAAAAGCATTAAAACTCAATGAGTTTGATACTAACCTTTTGTCGCTCAAGTTTCTTTTTCCTCACGAACCGGTTTCGAACCACCACTAGTGTCTTCTCCACTATTCTCCGGCCTTAGAACGGGATTGTGGAATCTGGTGAGTGACTAAACTTGGGGGGGATTTTGTATATGAAGAGAGTGTTTGTCTCAAGGTTTTCCACCAAAAAGACCTTTCATGCACCATGATCACTCTATTTATAGAGTCATGTTTGCATGTTCATGCAAATTTGAGATCACCAAATTTTGACGCTCGAAATTCCACTCAGATGTTTGGGATTATGGGACAAGCATGCATGTTTGAGTTAACCAAATTTTGACACTCAAAATTCCACTCAAACTTTTGGGGTTTATTTGGCAAGCATGCAATATTGGTTAAACCAGACACCTCAAAATTCCACTGACATGTATTTTTCCATTGAATGAAGTCAACATTTTGACTTTCTTCATTTTAATTCAACAATTAATTTGAATAATTAATTTCAAACTAAGGTAATATTAAATGATTAATTAAACTATTTAATTAATATTTAATATTAACTCAAAAGCCAATCCCAATCAATTCCGACACTTATTTGATTAAAATATTTAAAACTTATTTAAATATCTCAAATTCTCTCTTTTTGTTTAATTCGTAAATAAAACAAAAATGCGGTTAAATATATCGTATATATGTAGCGCATATTCCCTAATTTGAATTCAAACACTTCGAACTCACTCGTCACACTATTCTATTGTTTAGTCCGATATGAGCTAGCAGAGGGACCTAATGGACCTATAGATCATGGGCTCCAACGATCCAAGATTAATCGATTAAACTCATTAACCTTGCTAATCAACAACACTCGTTAACTACTAGGACACTCTACTATAGCCTAGTAGTTGCAATCCCCTCACTATAGATATATTTCTGTCCATTTGATATAACCATGATTAGTAAGTCGATTCTTCACAGGTTGTTCGTAACTAGAGTTGGGTCAATTTACCGTTTTACCCCTAAAGTTACTTCTTGTTCCTTATGTCTCACTGGTCCTCTAATGAACAATTGGTTTGTGGTCCAACCAGTAAACCGAATCCCTCTCAGGCCAATGAGAGGGTGGGGCACCTTGTTCAAGACCTGGAGTTAGTGCTTAAGGGACCTACCTCTCTTCTATCCCTAAAAGTGGGTAGGAGTGAATTCCATCTTGCACCCCACGTCCCCAGCCATTCACCCAGTCTTATCCCTAAAATGGGGGGCCTATTGAGTCGGCGAACTCGAGCCACTCTCACCCATGCAAATCTAAGGATAATTCCAAATAAACAGGAGTTCATGGTTAGCTCAGGATTAAAATCGAGTTACCTAGGTCATCGAATGAAAAGAAAATCAGTCTCAACAGTAAACGACATTATAAAGTGAGAGTGATTTTCTTCATGGTCCGATCTTATGCAATACTCATTGCATAGAACACCCCCACTCACATGTCTCCACATGTACAATTTAGTGATCACATTGTTTATGTCATATACAAGAGTGGGCCGCATCCATAGTGTCCCCAAGATAAGGTACTCAGTCTTATCCCCATACTATAGATCATTTTGACTATATACTTGAACTTGATCCACTCTTATGTCTCTACATATAGTTCAAGTAATCATACTATAATCAGAGTGTTCTTAATTTATTGGATTTAGATTAATAATCGTAAGAATTCACTTTATTCGATAACAATCTTTACTGAATAAATAACAATAATAACTTTATTGAAAATAGAATATATTTTTCGTTTACAAACTATGAGTTTTAGGACATAAAACCCAACAATAGTAAGGTCACTTACCTGGCTAGCTTAAGTCGTTATCACAAATATATCCTTAATGAAAGTTTGATTCTGTCCTTTGAAATTCGAGTCAACCTATGTGAGCCCATGACATCCGTTTCAAGTTTGGAATCTACAAAAGTATTTCTTTAATTTACATAGGTCCATTGTTAATGGTCTTGAAATGTTATATGTCTATAATTATATTTTTATTACAAATCTTATTTTTCATGGTTATTGTTTTATTAAAAAAAAAAAAAAAAAAGTAGATACCGCTATTTCAAGTTATTCTCGGTTTTACTACTCTCCGTATTTACCCTCTATATTTACGTTTGCCTTTTAGTTTGTGGTTTTTAATGTTGGAAAGAGGGATAGTGAAAGAGATAGGAATGGATAGGAATAGATGAAAGCTGCAGTGCTTTATTATTGTCTACTGACTCAATGCTCATAGTATTACACAATTCCAGTATTTATAGCTAATACACTCGGCAAGAAATAGTAAATCATAGAAATCTAGATAAACTCAAATCTAATAACAATCTCCTAAAATCTTGATAGTTTGAATATTTTAATCATATCTAACTACTCTAAATCATATTTTCATTTTGAATACTTTGAATCATATCTCAACACTCCCCCATGATTCAAAGTTGTAGACGTAAGTACAGAGCTTTTCTTCTGACAAGGCCTTCGTAAGTATGTCTGCTTTAACCCGTACAATGTTTGTCTCAGCTTGTATACCTTTGTTTCTTTGTCTTTCTTTATGAATCCCTCTGGCGGTGTTACATAAACTTCTTCTTGTAAATCTCCATAGAACTTTTCGTTTGGTAGGTCAACCATATCCCATGTTTCATCTTTCTTAAAGGACTGCATCTCTACTGTCATGGCTTTCTTCCCGTCTTCTTTTTCAGTTGCTTCTTCATAATTCATAGGGTCATGATTGGTTTTGACGTTCACCGTGTCTTTTTCCTTAACTTGCATCTCTTTTTTATTTCCAAGTTGCACCTTGATTCTTTACGTCTCATCAAGCTCTTGGAATAAAGATTTGATGTCTGTCATATGGTTCGAGCATCCGCTATCAACAAACCATAAGTTACTTTCTTTTGGATTCGTATCCATGCATGCCATAAACAACTTTTCTTTTTCTCCATTCTCTACTGCAAAATTCATTAGTTGATTTTTATACCAACAATCATATTTTGTGTGACCATACCTTCTACAATGGTAACATTGTATGACATTCCTTTGTTCATTGAATTGTCTCTGTCCATCACTTCTCCACCTGTTATCACGATCGCCATGGAAGCTGCGAAATCCTTCTCTTCCACAACTTCTACTTGCTAAACAAACATTTTCTTTTTCGTTGCCTTCGTTGTTGGCTGTCTCCACTTGTAGTGCCTTTTCTATATTTTCTCTTTTGTTGCCTTCGTTGTTGGTTGTCTCCACTTGTAGTGCCTTTTCTATATTTTCTCTTTCGTTGCCTTCGTTGTTGTCTGTCTCCACTTGTAGTGTCTTTTCTTCATTCCTTTCTGATGATTTATTGATTCTTGACTCATGAGCCTGAAGCAAACCCATCAGTTCATCAACGGAGAGTATTGATAGATCCTTAGTAGCTTCTTCTATGGTAGTCGCCACATGGTCAAACTTTGGAGTCAAGCTTCTCAACACCTTTGCAACAATTGTTTCGTCTGAAATTTTCTCTCCATAGGTACGCATCGGACTGACTATTGTCATTGTTCTGGACAAAAAATCAGCAATTGATTCGCCATTCATCATGAGCAGAGTTTCAAAATCACGTCTTAAAGATTGCAATTTAAGACGTGATTTTGACTTTTGAATCTCCCTCAAACTCCTTCAGTAGAATTGACCATGCTTGCTTTGATGTAGTTGCTGCTGCAATTCGTGAAAAGATAGTCTCATGAACTGCTTGCTGAATAATGAATAGAGCATTGACATCATTTTTCTTGGTTTCCCTTAGTGTCTCCTCTTCTTCAATTGTGGGTTCTGATATATCAACGAACCCGTACTCCACCAAGTCCCATAGCTCCTGCGATCTGAGCAAGGTCTTCATCTTGATGCTCCACCACTCATACTTCTCACCATTAAAGATTGGCAACAACGGTGCAAAAAAGAAAAACCAGCTACTGCCATTTTTGTTTTGGAAAAGAAAATAATCACTCGCCCTTGTGTCGAACGAACTTGGCTCTGATACCAAAATTGTTGGAAAGTGGGATAGTGAAAGAGATAGGAATGGATAGGAATAGATGAAAGCTACCGTGCTTTATTATTGTCTACGGACTCAATGCTCAGAGGGTTACACAAGTATTTATAGCTAATACACTGGACCAGAAATAGTAAATCATAGAAATCTAGATAAACTCAAATCTAATAACAATCTCCTAAAATCTTGGGTTACACAAGTATTTATAGCTAATACACTGGACCAGAAATAGTAAATCATAGAAATCTAGATAAACTCAAATCTAATAACAATCTCCTAAAATCTTGGTAGTTTGAATATTTGAATCATATCTAACTACTCTAAATCATATCTTCATTTTGAATACTTTTAATCATATCTCAACATTTAATTCCCTAATTTTTTTTTCTTTGGGTTGCATTTTAATTGTGTTTTCATGTATTCCAAATTTAATTCTGTTTTCATGTATTCCAAATTTCTAGTTGATCTCTGTTTCCAAATCTTTCCTTGTTAAACCATTCTATCTTTAATCTATTCATTTGGCTAGGAATAAAAATTTAATTTAATATTACTAATATGACAAAAATTTAATCTAATATTACTAATCTAACGTGATTTACTAGAAATGATTAATGCTTAATTTCTAACTCAACGTTCGACCATTGTAATAATTCAACGAAAATATGAGTATAATTGGTTGTGATTTCTAAAAAAAATATGATAAAAGAAAATGAAGATTTAATATATACGTTATTGATCAGATCTATCTCACTTAAATTTTCCATGAATGGTAAAGGTCATTCTAATTTTTTTTTTCTCTCAAGTAAATCTAATAATTATTGTTTTTCTTTTTCTTTTTGTAGTAACGGTTACTTTCTGGCGTAAGGACGGGCATAATTGTGAAAAGAGACGAGAGATTAAAACCGACTGAAAGTCTTAAATAACGTGCGACCTACTCTAAACTTGAATTAGTGTCACAACTTTTAATTAATGAAGAAAAATAATGATAACTATATTGATGGAGAAAGGAAGCTGGGGAGGGAAAATGTAAATTCTCTCTAGAAAGCTGATGTTTTTTCTTCTCGTGTTTGATAAAACTATACGTTTTTGTCCATAATATCATAAGAACCTAATAAAGAGCCATAATTCAAAACATCATATCTTCAAAAGCTCTAACTATTACAATATTAACCTCATCGTACGTCCAATGTGGACAGGTAGGTTCAAAACCTAATGATCGAACATTGTAATGTACAAAATGTTTCTTTCGGCGTCCATGAATGCGCCCTCACAGGCTTCAACTTTGCCCCATCCACATCGTCATTCAGATTCGATGGCTTAATGCAACTCTTGTCTTGTGACTTCACCGAATAAACCTTGCACTGGTCGTGTCTCATCACATTCTTCGGTATCACCAACCGAAAGTAGTTGTTTTTGTCAGTGGTGGCCATTTCCATCAACGGAACGTACCTTGGTATTCTTGCATGACAACTTCATTGTAGCACCTATAAATACATAGAGGTCGATGCCAATTTAAGTCCCTTTCACCATCTATGACATGTTTTGAAGGATGATAAAGGTCATTTCAGCATTACGCAGAGCGAATGCACGTGTTTCGTGAACAAACAAAAATTATCTGAATGCAATGTAGGAACATCAACCCTCTATATTGGTATGATATTGTCGACTTTGAACATAAGTTTTTACGGCTTTCCTTTTGGTTTCCTCAAAAAATCTCATACAAATGGAAATAGTGTCCATGACTTATGTTGGATTTATGCCGGTAATTAATTATTTAGTTTTTAACAATAATTTTATTATTTTATTTGTAATTTAATTGTTATCCATGATATGAAAATTCAAGGTTATTAATGTAATTTTGGACAGTATGTGGTTGACATACAAGAGGATCTTGTTCATGTAATAACTTAAAGAGTCTATAGTATATGGATAAGGTTGGGTGTCATATCCTGGTAACATTATTGATACGGCCCACTTTGTAATCTTTACAAATGATTTGATCTAGATCGTTCATGTGGAGAGATGTAAGTGGGGGTATCCTATAAAATGAATTTGTATAAAACTACCTAGAAATATTTAATCTCTCTTTATAAATCTGTTAATTGAGAAGATAATATTTTACATGATGATCATATGCGACTCGATTTTAATCTTAAGTGAGTTATGAACACGTGCCTGTGAGGGCTTGTCCTTTAATTTACATGGGTGAGAATGACTCTTTTAGCCGATTCAATATGCCTACAATTTTGGGGACTTACCAAATGGAGACTTGGGAACATAATACTGATTTCGGGACTTGAGCAATGGACCCCACCCTCTCATTGGCCCAAAAGGGACTTGGTTTATGATTTGATCATAAACAAATTGTTTATTAGAGAATCGGTGGTACTTAATGTGAAAGATGTAATTACAGGGATAAAGCGGACTTTTGAGTTAGTTTGTAATTATGAACAAACTTGCCTGTAATGATTATATCAATGGACATAACTTGTCCTACAGTGCATAAGAATGCAATTTTAGATCTATAGTGGAGTGACCTATAGTTAATGAATGAAAATTGGTTAATTAAAAAGTTTAATTAATTAATTTTATATCATTGGGCTTATAATAGGTAGGTCTATAGGGTCCCTTGTTAGCTCATAATAACACTAAATTGTTCCATTTATTTGAATGAAAATTTGAACTATTCAAATTTATATTTAATATATTAGATATATTAATATAAAGAGAAAATAAATTTAATTTAAAATGTTAAATTAATATTTAATATATTAGATATACTAAATAAATAAATAAAATATATTTAATTTGAAGGGTTCAAAATAATATTTAATATATTAGATACATTAAATATAAATGGAGAAAAATATAATAATTTGAAGTGTTGAATTAATATTTAATATATTAGATATATTAAAAAAAATATATTTATTGTATTTGATACATTTAAATATCAAATCTGTATTTTGATACATTACATAAAAATATATTTAAAATTTGAATGAGATTCAAATTAGTTAAATATATATTAGGATATCTTCTAATATTTAAATATGATTTATATAAGATATTATATCCTAATATATTAAATATGTAAATATATTATTTGGCAAAAATCCTCCAAAGGTCGTTGAGCCAAAAACATACGAATCTCTCCCACTTTCTCTAGAAAATGAAATTACATCTACAAAAAATCCTCAAAACTATTTTCTCTCATCCCTTAGGGGATTTTCTTTCAAGAGGCTCCCATGAGCCATGACCTTGTGTTCGAGTCATAGCAAGGAAGATTTCGTGGAATGTTGAAGAGCTTTTGCATGGTTGAAATACTTCAAGGAGTGTTGCAAACTAGGGTTTCTATAGAGTTCTTACTCTCGAATTTATTGCTTTTCTTTTAATTCTTAATAAAATCAAAACGGTTCTCAATGCTTCCGCTACGTAGATGAAGAGTTTATTCCCTTCAGCTTATATGTTTATAGTCACACAACACACACACTCGATATAGATGAACTCAAAAAATAGGAGAGAGAAAATGTAGGGAGAGATATTAGTTAGATGTTTATATTAATGACTTCAACTATGTATAGAGTGGTGCATTATCAATACATTGTATAATGAGGATGGTTCAATTTACTATATTTACCTTAAACATATATATAACTATCTTATTTATGATATATAACTTTAATATATATTATTATTGAGCATGCTATAAACAAGCACCAAACTCTATAACGTAACATTATATACCTATGATCTCCCCATTAATAAACTAACATGACTCCAACATACAATGTAAATCATATAATTGGCACGTAAAACTACGGCTAAACATACAAGTAGGTTTACCATAAATCTAACATTTAAAGTAAAAATAAAATTTTGTGAACTGACACACGTCAGGCGGCGATCGCACTAGGCAAGGAGACGGCGATCGCATTAGGCAAGGAGAGGGTCATGTGTCAAGCAAAAGGAAGGATGAACTTTGCCTGTTGGGGAGTAGACACATGTCAGACAACGAGAAGATGCATGCCAAAAATTGTTTGAAAAACTTCCCGAGAGGTTTTAACACGGGACTGTGGGGTCGAAGTGACAAGTTGGGATGAAAAAAATTTATGGAAAAAATAGCGAAAATTTGTATTTGATGTGGGTGCGAGGAAGAAGTTGACACAAGTCAGGAAGCGATCGCATCAAGCAAGGACAAGGTCATGTATAGGTCTGAACCCAAGAATGTGGGGTCAAAGTGACAAGTTATCATGTGCCACATGTCAAACTAAGGACATAGGTACTCCTTATTCGGTCTTATATCCTAAAACTCATAATTTGTAAATAAAAACATATTCTATTTGAAATAAAGTTATTATTGATATTTATTCAATAAAGATTGTTATTGAATTAAGCGAATTTCACGATCATTAATCTAAATCCAATAAACTAAGAATACTCTGGCTATAGTATGAATACTTGAACTATATGTAGAGACCTAAAAGTGGATCGAGTTCAAGTATAGAGTCAAAATGATCTATACTACTTGGATAAGGCTGAGTATCTTATCCTGGGGACACTATGGATGCGACCCACTTTTGTATATGATATAAACAATGTGATCACTAAACTGTACATGTGGAGACATGAGAGTGGGGGCATCCTGTGCAAGGAGTATTGTATAAGATCAGACCATGAAGAAAGTCACTCTCATTTTATAATGTCGTTTACTGTTGAGACTGATTTTTTCATTCGATGACCTAGGTAACTCGATCTTAATCCTGAGCTAACTATGAACTCCTGTTTATTCGAAATTATCCTTAGATTTGCATGGGTAAGAGTGGCCCGAGTTTTCCGACTCAATAAGCCTCTCATTTCAGGGGTAAGATTGGGTGAATAGTTGGGAACTTGAGGTGCAAGATAGAATTCGCTCCTACCTGCTTTTAGGGATAATAGAGAGGTTCTCTTAAGTAATGACTCTAGATCTTGAACAAGGGGCTCCACCCTCTCATTGGCCCAAGAGGGATTCAGTTTAGTGGTTGGACCACAAACCAATTGTTCATTAGAGGATCAGTGGGACTTATGGAACAAGATGTAACTTCAGTAGTAAAACGGTAAATTGACCTAGCTCTAGTTACGAACACTTGTGAAGAATCGACTTACTAATCATGGTGATATCAAATGGACAGAAATACATCTATAGTGAAGGGAGTGTAACTACTAGGATACAGTGGAGTGTCCTAGTAGTTAACGAATGTTGGTTAATGAGTTTAGCTAGTTAATCTCGGATCATTGGAGCCATGATCTGTAGGTTCATTAGGTCCCCCTGCTAGCTCATATCGAACTAAACCTTAGAAAAGTGTGACGAGTGAGTTCAAAGTGTTCAAATTCAAATTAGGGGATATGCGCTAAATATATACGACATATTTAACCGCATTTTGTTTAGTAGATTTAAATATAATAATTATGAATAGAGATTCAAAATCAATATGTGATAAATATTAATTAAATTTTTTAATTAATCTTTTAATATTATTTTAATTTAAAATTAATTATTGAATTAAAATAAAGAAAGTTAAAAGGTTGACTTGAATGAAAAAATCCATGTTTAAGTGAGTGGAATATTGAATGTCAATATATGGTTTAACCAAACATGTATGATTGACGAATAACCCCACAAATTTGAGTGTCAAACTTTGGTAATCTCAAATTTGCATCACCATGCAAATATGACTCTATAAATGGAGTAATAAAGGTACCTTGAAAGTTTCTTGAAAAAATTTTGAAAAACTCCCTAAAAAACTATTTCTTCATATATACTAAATTCTTTCCAAGTTTAAGTTACTCACGGGTTTCCACAATCTTGTTCTAAGGCTGGAGAATAGTAGGGAAGACACTAGTGGTGGTTCGAAACCGATTCGTGAGGAAAACGGAATTAATATAAGAAAGGAATTTGGGTTGGGATTTATGCCTTAAAACTTCGTAATTAATTATTTAGTTGTTTAACCATAACTTTTATTATTTTATTTGTAATTTAATTGTTATCCATGGTATGAAAATCCAAGGTTATTAATGTAATCTTGAACAGCATGTGGTTGACATACAAGAGTATCGTGTTCAAGTAATAACCTAAAGAGTCTATAGTATATGAATAAGGTAGGGTGTCTTATCCTGGTAACACTATTGATACGGCCCACTTTGTAATCGTTACAAATGATTTGATCCAAATCGTTCATGTGGAGACATGTAAGTAGAGGTATTTTATACAATGAGTTTGTATAAGACTGGACCAAGAAATATTTAATCTCTCTTTATAAATCCGTTAATTGAGAAGATTAATATTTCACATAATGATCATATGCGACTCGATCTTAATCCTGAGTGAGTTATGAACTCTTGCCTGTGAGGACTTGTCCTTTAATTTACATGGGTGAGAATGACTCTTTTA